CCCCCGGTCGGCGAACACACCTACACGAAAAGATAAATCGCTCTCCCAAAACCCCCATTTAATTCCCGACCGTAACATATGTGACATAAATGAGAGGCTTATGTACTTAATTTTTTACAATATGATCCAAACAATCTATGGTTGTTTTGCGATATAGCTTCTTAATCAATCCAAAACTACCATCACACTTGAATTTAGTATGTCCAGGTATCATAAAATCTAATTCAATACTTTCATAATAGCTGCAAATTAGTAAATACAGGTAGAATCAAATGGTAGCATTATTTTTATTCTGACCACTTGCATTGTCACAAGTAATTTTAAATGGTTTTTCGCCTTTATTCAATCTCTTAATCCCATCAAATACCATGCTCAGCATACCATTAGGGTCATTTCGTTCTCACCAAGAACATACTTAATTTGTTCACATACTACTTCATCTTGAATACCAAATAAATGTACTTTACGCGGACTAAGATAATAAATTTTACTTACCTGTTGATTGGAATGGGGTACATGATCATTCTGTGCTCACTCATAACTGTAATGAGCAGTAGCATCAATGCTACAATAATTGGCTTTACCTCTTGTTATAAAATGCTCATTTACTAATTTTCTTTGTTTTTCTCTAATTTCATATTTTTATTGTAATAGTTTCTCTCTAATTTAGCCTTAATATTAGAGGGTTTTCTCTGTAGTCAATTAAATGTGTTTTGCCCTGATGCAAACGTTTTCCACAACTACTCACTTCGATGGTATGCTCCAGCAACCACTGTGCATCAAGAACATTAACATCTGGCACATTTTCGGCTAGGTTGACTCTAGGCCCACTTATGTGTGAAAGCATCATGCTCCGAAGAAGGGGTGCAGAACACTGGATTATAACCTCTCGAATATTCAGTTGTTTCTGAATTATTACCATTCCCTCTGCTAGTAGGAACTTCACATCATCATCATCCTTGATCAACGGTAGGGAAAATGTATCAGGCTAAACGTTTCATAGAACAAAAGCGAAACGAGACTCACCCGAAAAGCTATATGGGTTCCATTGCGGAGGACCAGGCCAAGAATTCTCATCTGATTCACCGAAAGGTGTCTGAGTGCTCGAATGATGGAATAGTAGGTTGCCTGTCCCGTTACGAATATGGGTAAATCAACAGTAGTGTGTTTTGTCCAGTCATTGAACGAAACACTGCATTTGCCTTCCACAACAAAGTACTCGAGATAATATCCGCATAAGCCAACAAGTCCCTTATGTCCAAAGGTGAGATGGAAAATGTCTGCAGCAATTTCAGCTAGATTGAGCTGGAACCCGTTTTCCTCAGAAAACTGGTGAAGCAGATCCTCAATCTCATTTACTGTAAACCGGACCATGTCGAAACTTGCCTCTGCAGAGAATGGAGATATTAACGAAGATGATCCAGGCCTTTGACAGGTGGCCAGGACCTCCCTGACTGACTCAGTGCCCAGCAGTATGACAGAGTACAACCAGTACTGATCACAGTCATCTTTAAGATCCCGCAATGTCACGATGAATTCGTTAATAATCTTGTCGGTGTTAATGTCGACATTGTTCTTGCCTAAATCATACATCTTTGATGCCTCATCAATGATAAGAATTGTAGGCTTTCTCGAATAAGAACATGTCTTCGAGAAGAATTCCTTGAAGGTAGTTGATGTTGCGATCCCCTTACAATTGTCAAAAGAAAATACATTTCGATCTGCGACACGTAATGAGTCAAGCATCGACCACCAGAACTTTTCGACTCCCTCATCAAATACAACTCCACTATTGAAAGATATGTAGCATATTGCAAAATCGGATGCCCATGAACAGCTGTAAAGCCACCGCTTCAGAGCAAATGCAATGGTCGATTTCCCACTCTGTCTGTGCCCACATACGAGGCAAAATTTTCGATCAAACAGAAGCGTGCCCAGCTTTTCGATCACGTCTGTGTTCTCAATGTAGAAGTGGGACTCCGGGTATGCTCCGTTAGCTGGCGCGAATGTGCGTATCCCTGCATAAGATCAGACAAGAAATTCCCCAATATGAACCCAGGTCTCTTGAAGAACTCATAAATAAAAAGATTTCCTCAAAGAGATATTCTGTACAGACTTACTCTTACGTGCTGCTTGATAGGACGACGGTGAGGATGATCGTGAGCGTCGACGTCCTACATGAGTCCGACGAAATGGAGCAAAGGAGTTTGATTTGTTGACGGATAAATTGTAGCGACAAAATGATAAATAATAGCGAGCAAAGTGCAATGTGTACGCACATAGACGTATTCAATAAAAAAGGAACATAACATTATACAATAAATAGCAGATATGAGCCGCGATGAAGAAAATTGTTGATTTGTACTCTCTTATGTATGAAACCCATATTACTATGCTACTCTACCCCACGTACACACTACTCTATGTCCCCAACGCCCGAGTCACAAAGTCGTTACCTGGCTGATGTTTAGCAGCACGGTGGCCGCAATCGGAGCAAGTTCTTCCACTATCGTCAGGATCAAACTCATTGCAACCACATTCATCAGCACAACACTTGAGACGGAAGGTGCCATCACAGTCTTTCATTTTCAAAAGATGGTTCGTTTGTTTGATGCTGCGCGATGTGATCTAATATACAAACGCCGATCAGTTTAATCGATGACGTATTACTAGGAACTTTCTAGACTTTTCACAATGTAACTATTGTTCCCCTGTATGCAGAAGGTGACCAATGATAATCAATGCGCAGAAATTCGCGTTTGTCTAATAATCGTCCGCAGTGTATGACGAACAAACGGATATTTTATTATAAAAACAGCACCGGTCAGCTTACCTCAGAAATCAACCACAACACAGTAAATAACGAGAGGAGGGTATTAGTATGAGTTTTTTTTTTTTTTTTTTTTTTTTTTTTTGGTACTTTGCTTTAGTTTTTTGGTCTGCTCTCATTTCGGCTTGTTTGAGTTTTTCCAAATTCCAGTTATACTGGTAGTCATTATCTGAAAATCCATATAATCTCTCGCGCCTTTCACTTCTACAGAAGCAACATTTTCATCTTCTACGAGAAATAGATAAAGAAATGAACGAAGCTCGTTTGACCGCAGATCGTGTTGGCAGATTAGCTCTACGGCCGCTATCCTCTTGGCGAAGGGAAACCCCCCAGTATGATGACATGTAAAAAGGTTTGTTGTTACAGGGGGTTTCAATGAACGTGTTTTTGTGTAAAAGTACTATATTATGTAATCGTTCCTGGGTGGTCACTCTTCAAAGTACTGTTGATAAACCCAAATCGTTGTCAATAGAGGTGCTTCGCAGCTTATATCATTCCTCCAACTTGTTGAAATTGTCCGAATGCTTTCTTATTATCTGTAATGTCTCTTCATCAGCATCACACACCGAATACTAAAAACACAGAGTTGTCAATTCTAACTCATACATTCTGGCACAACATGATTTTTTCTCACTCTATGTTTCCTCCTTACCTCACTCTATGTTTCCTCCTTACATATACCTCCCACACTCTTTTCCATCACGCATCATTTCATTGTTCCAAACTTACGCTCGTGAGGCGATCACCCAACCATTGAGGCGGCGAATCGCAATTCCAGCATACGCCCAAAATGCCTGTCCACCAATTTCTCGAGCGATTAATGAGCCGTAGTATTTATTATGATTTATTGTCGATGCTGATGGAGAGTATTTGGATACAGGGAGCCAACCGTCTCTTGCAAGGCCTGGATGATAGGATCAAAGATAGGAGAAATAGACGATGGAAAACCGATATGGAGAATAGTTTGAGCAATTTTCTTACCACATTCTTTGCAAGATATACGGGCTTTTCTAACTCTTCCGTAGACCATTTGCAAATAAAGTTCAACATGAAATTTTCTGCTCGCGAGTAATTCTCTGTTGATGGATCATTTGAATTGTAATATTCCCAATTTTCTACCCAAACGTGAGCACTTGCGTAATCTATGAAAGGGGTAATAAGCTGTCATTCTGCGTTAGTTTTTCGGGAGTTCTCGTAGTACTCCAATACCATTCCTGAACTATATAATCCCTCCCTTTAGTTTATGAGTACAACTTTTTCTCATATTCCCTACCATATGCCATAGCATGTTATTTCGTACCAATATCGCTGTACTTGTGCATTTACAAGCCCTCCCCATTCTTCCCTTCGGCTAAGTGATTTGCATCCAGATCCTTGATTGCCCTTGCACTTTCTTCGATCCATGTCCTGACGATCTTTCTCCCATTATCTCCCAAAACTATTTTGTAGTTCGTTTTCCAACTCCCATGCAAATATTACGGGATCTTCCTTGTATAATTTCCCATTAAACGTGTTTTTCCGTGTGAGGACTGTCCTAATGTGACGCTGGTAAAGTGACTGGCGGCGCAGGATACAAGACGCAAAGAGCTCAAAGGCTGTGAAGTCGGGTATGGAATGGGGGAATGTCGCCCCAAGATACGTATTGTGCAAAGAGCATTGCCAGAAGTTTGAAGAGTCTTGAGTTTGGGTAAGTGGAGATAAAAAGTTAGGGAAAAGAGATGATTATCTTGTCTAATGGAAACATCATAACGCATTGGTTAAGTATAGAAAGTGACAGTATACAAACCATCGTAGCGGTCATGTCGAACTTGCTCAATTGGTCCAAACCTGAATACACAAGTGCATAATAACCATTATAAAAATTCTGCCTTTCCGTTTACACTCGCATCAAAGCTGCGGTTTCATTCTTCATTGAGCCTTTTGCTTCCGGCCATGATTCTCACATTATGATTCCCATTTGTTTCAATTTCTCCAAATCTTAAAGTACTCTTGCTTTATTTCCTGTCGACATGGGCAGATTCGTCCGTCGCTTGCCAATAGTTGGCGTCGACGAGCTTCAAGCATAGTAATAAAAACGTCGATCACGGGAATTACGTTCAAAATCTTTGTCTATCAACACAATAATAGTATCTACTTCTTATTCAAACGATGTCATTAGTTCCAGGGGTAAATAATCCAGCAATTGACAACTTAGTACAGTCTTCCTTAGAAAGTGAAAATAAAGACTTAAGACTTGAATGGACTTACGGTGAAACCAACATAAAGCCAACTCAAATTGACAACGTTTATAGTGGTCGCTACAACAGAACACTGGTATTCCTTGGAAACAACAAAGAATGCACACAAACATTTGTGAGTGAGTTTGCCAGAATATACTCACTTCCAACACACAAGTACAGTAGTGTTGACAATCAGTTTAGACGGTACAAGAAATGGCTTGACGGTCGCAACAGAATGATAAAAGGATTTACCGAGTATGACGATAATTACTACATGGTTGCCGATAGAATGTTTTACTATTGTTATTCTCGATATGGCTTCTGCACTGCATGTGGAATACTCCGATGTAGTCCCGTGTGGTGCGTTTGTGGACATAAACAATTATTCGATGGATGGACTAGCATCAATAAGCAACTTGATGAGTTTGTTAAGAAATCTCAATTACAAACAAACTCACCAAATAATGCCTACTTGGAATGGATTCCACGTGATTGTATTGATGTTTATGGTATATTATACTTGCATGGTCTACCTACTCCTTATAGTGTTAAATTGATTCCACTTGAGATAACAGACGAGACACATGATTTATATTACGCCGAGGTAAACTATTTACTTATGCATCATGTTTATTGAATAGTTATTGACTTATTATTATGTATTATTTCCAGTTATGTGATGAGCATCCAGATATTCTTACCACGGATGTTTGGCTTACCATCGGATTCACATATGATACACGTAAACGAAAGTATTGTCTCATAAAAGAATATGATGAGAGGAGATTATGTCTGGCTTGTACACGGTGCTTAGAACCTGAAATAAATGCATTCTGTTTCGAATGTAAAGCACCAACACCTCCTGATTGGACTACGGGCAACAAATCTTTGGATTTATTCATTGTGGAATCATGGAGTAATACAAGGAATAAATATGATGCATATATACAATGGATTGAATACTCTCTATTGACAAACATACAAGAGATGGCATTATTGTGCCATGGATGCACACATATAGCAGAATGGACAACAAATGAATTGACAAGAGTGACACTCAAAAAGATAGTTGAAGGGGATGATCAGTTATTTGATTTTCATCAGGTAAATTATTTCACGTAAAATGATTATTAACGTGTGCATCAAGCAGATTATTGTTGTAACGACTGTATTATGTATTTGTTTACTCAAATAGCTAACCAAGGAATACCCCAACATATTAACACCGGATAATATTTGGATAATTGGGATCACTCGGGAGCCATCTACTCGGGAATATTATTTAGTTTTCTA